TAGTAGTAGTAGTAGCTAGTAGTAGTAGTAGTAGTAGTAGTAGTAGTAGTAGTAGTAGTAGTAGTAGTAGTAGTAGTAGTAGTAGTAGTAGTAGTAGTAGTAGTAGTAGTAGTAGTAGTAGTAGTAGTAGTAGGTAGTAGTAGTATGTAGTAGTAGTAGTAGTAGTAGTAGTAGTAGTAGTAGTAGTAGTAGTAGTAGTAGTAGTAGTAGTAGTAGTAGTAGTAGTAGTAGTAGTAGTAGTAGTAGTAGTAGTAGTAGTAGTAGTAGTAGTAGTAGTAGTAGTAGTAGTAGTAGTAGTAGTAGTAGTAGTAGTAGTAGTAGTAGTAGTAGTAGTAGTAGTAGTAGTAGTAGTAGTAGTAGTAGTAGTAGTAGTAGTCGTAGTAGTAGTAGTAGTAGTAACCGTAGTAGTAGTAGTAGTCGTAGTAGTAGTAGTAGTAGCAGCAGTAGTAGTAGTAATGGAAGTAGTAGTAGTAGTAGTAGTAGTAGTAGTAGTAGTAGTAGTAGTAGTAGTAGTAGTAGTAGTAGAAGTAGTAGTAGTAGAAGGGCTGCCTCCTTCACGCTCCGACCAAACTCCGCCCACAGCCCGTGCACTGACCCCTCCGGGTCCACCCCGGCCAAGCTGTGGAGATGCGCAAGCGTGGCGACGGGAGCCTCCAGGAACGCCCCAAAAACCTCCGACGCGAAGCCGTCGTCGTCGTCGTCGTCGTGGTCGTGGTCGTGGTCCTTGAGCCCACTCCCATCGAAAGCGTCTTTCCCTTTCGACACAGGGAGGTTTACCTGCATCGCATCCGCCCCCCCTTCCGCCGCCTTGTCGAACAGCGCCGAGCCGAGAAGGCATGCAGGTGAGTCACAACTTGTGCGAAGTGCTGATTTCCTCTCGGGCCTCGCCACGCCCGCCCTCCCCTCCATGCGAGTAGACATGCCAGAGTGTAAAGAATTACCCCAGCAAAGCACTCTAGCAACAAAGATAAAGAGGCGGTTCGAGGAGTAGGAGGCCGGCTATCAGGGACAGCGGCGAGAGCACGGCCACGTGCAACCTAGTGTATTCTTACAAAGGCTCGCAGTGGTCCAGACCACACATGTAGCCCGGCATGGAGCGAGAGCGAGCCTCGGCTACACGTAAGAGCGACCCTCGGCAAAAGTGACCGTTGGTGCACGGCTTAACAGGGGACGCGGGGTGGCCAAATCCAGGTACGTAAGCCGCTGCTACCGCTTCGAGTTCAGGCCCGCACCAAAAGGTCATTCCAGCGAAAGGTCCCTCTTACTGGTAGTGGACAAGTGTGGGGACGTCTCAAGCGAAACGGATGCCAGGCCGGGCGGGCTATATGGGCTCCCCGTTTCCACCTCGGGACTCTTCGCGGCTTCCTACCATCCCTACAGCCATCTAGCAGAACCCTACTAGGGAGAGGAGAGCGGCGGGCGCTCTCGTCCACGACGAAGTCCCTCTCGGACCGACCCGGCTCGCAATAGGGCGGCGCGCCGCGGGAAGGTGGGGCCGATGTCGGGACGGAGGGGCGGTGGAACCCTCTGCCCAACGCCACCAGGGGGGACGAACGCCCTCTGCCGTTGCCCCGCGCTGGACCTTGGCGCGAGTGTGCTGCGCCGCCACGCCGCCTGCGGGCGCGCCCGCGGCCGCGCCCGCGGCCGCACCCCCGCCGCCGCCCAAGCGCAGCAGCCTGCGGGCCCGCCGCCACTGCCGCCGAAGCCGTCGCCCGCAGTGAATCGGCCGACGTCGGTCGTCGTCGGCCGCGGACGTCGTGCGTCGGCCATCGGCCGCCGACGTCGTCGTCGTCGTCGTCAACGCCTGCGTCGGTGTCGGCGTTGTCGTCGCGGTCGTCGCCGTCAACGTCAACGTCGACGGCGGCGGCGTCGGCGTCTTCGTGAGCGTCGGCGTCGGCGTCGGCGTCAGCGTAGGCATCGGCACCAGCGTCGGCGTCGGCGTCGTCGTCAACGTCGGCGTTCGCGTCGGCGTCGTCGTTGTCGTCGGCGTCACCGTCGGCGTCTCGGTTGGAATTTCCAACGGCGTCGTCGCCGCGTCCGTCGGAGTCGGCGTCGGCAATGCTCGTCGGCGTCGTCGTCGTAGTTGGCGGCGGCGCCGTCGTCGTCAGCCTGGAAGTCGGCGTCGGCGTCGGCGGCGTCGTAGTCGCGGTCGTCGTCGTCGTCGTCGTCGCCGTCGTCCCCACAGTGCTCACAGTCGTCACAACTGTCGTCAACATCGCCGTCGCCGTCGTCGTTGTCGTCGTTGTCGTCGTCGTCCTCGGTGTCGGCGTCGTCGTCGTCGTCGTAACCGTCGTCATAGTCGTCGCCGTCGCCGTGGTCGTCGTCGTCGTCGCCGTCGTCGTACTTGGGCTTCGTCGTCGTCGTCGCCGTCGCCTTCGCCGTCGCCGTCGTCGTCGGTTCCGCCGCCGCCTTCGACGTCAGCGTCGTAGTTGCCGTCGTCGTCGTCGCCGTCGGCGTTGTAGTCGTGGTCGTGGTCGTCGTCGTCGTCGTCGTCGTCGTCGCCGTCGTCGTCGCCGTCGGAATCGCCGCCGTCGTTATCATCGGCGTCGTCGTCCTCGTCGCCGTCGCCATCGCGGTCGCCGTCGTCGTCGTCAGCGTCGTCGTTGTCAGCGGCGTCGTGGTCACCAACGTCGCCGTCGTCGTCGTCGTCGTCGTCGTCGTTGTCGTCCTCCTCCTCCTCCTCGTTGCCGTCGCCGTCGCGGTCGCCGTTGCGTCGCCGCCGCCTCAGCCGCCGCAGCCGTCGATGTCGTAGTCGTCGTCGGCGTCGTCGTAGACGCCGTCGTCGTCGTCGTCGTCGTCGTCGTCGTCGTCGTCCTCCTCCTCGTCGCCGTCGCCGTCGCGGTCGTCGTTGCGTTGCCGCCGCCTCTGCCGCCGCCGCCGTCGTCGGCGTCGACGTCGGCGTCGGCGTCGGCTTCGTCGTCGTCGTCGTGGTCGTCGTCGGCGTCGTCGTCGTCGGCGGCGTCGGCGTCGGCGTCGGCGTCGTCGTCGGCGAAGGCGGCGTCGGCGGCGGCGTCGGCGTCGGCGTCGGCGTCGGCTTCGGCGTCGTCGTCGTCTTCGTCGTCGTCGTCGTCGTCGTCGTCAGCGTCGTCGTCAGTGTCGTCGGCGTCGGCGTCGTCGTTGGCGTCGGCGTCGGCGTCGGCATCGGCGTCAGCGTCGTCGTCGTCGTCGTCGGCGTCGGCGTCGGCGCCCACGCCCTCCCCCGCGCCGGCGCCGGCGCCGTCGTAGTCGTAGTCGTCGTCGTCGTCGTCGTCGTCGTCGTCGTCGTCGTCGTCGGCGGCGTCGTCGTCGTCGTCGTCGTCGTCGTCGTCGTCGTCGTCGTCGTCGGCGTCGTCGTCGTCGTCGTCGTTGTCGTCGTCGGCGTCGGCCGTCGTCGTCGTCGTCGTCGCCGTCGTCGCCCAGGCGCAGCAGCCTCCAGGCCCCGGCCGCGGTAAGGGCCACGGCCCCCAGGAGCAGCCAACGCTGGTACAGCCGCACGAGGCCGAGGACGTAGTCCTGGGCTGGAGGACGTGACCAGCCAAGGGACAGGCTACAACAAGGACTCTCCCATGATACCGTTTTTCCCAACTATCCTGTGGTGTCGGGTCCTCGTTTTGAAGAGACGGTGCCCCGCGTCCTCCGCCTCCGCCTCCTCCTCTCCTGCTCCTCCTGCTTCTCCCCCTCCTCCCTATCCCCGTCACCCACCTCACTTTGGCACACCCCTCACATACTTCGCGGCTCCATAGGGCTCCACCGAAGGCCACAGTGGCATGATTCGCATGCCGCCGTCCTCCACTTTGGCACACCCCTCACACGTTTCATAGGGAGCTCCACGGAAGGCCTCAGAGGCATGATTCACATGCCGCCCCCCCCCCCTCCACTTTGGCACACCTCTCACACGTTTCGTGGCCCCATAGGGAGCTCCACCGAAGGCCCCACGACCCAGTGGCATGATTTGCATGCCGCCCCCCCTCCACTTTGGCAACCCCTCACACGCATCGTGGCCCCATGGAGAGCTCCACCGAAGGCCTCAGAGGCATCATTCGCATGCCGCCGCCCTCCACTTTGGCACACCTCTCACGCGCTTCGTGGCCCCATAGGGAGCTCCACCGAAGGACCCAGCGGTGGTGATCGCAGGCGTGTCTCCATCCAGGATAGCGCTTCGTGGCCCCATAGGGAGCTCCCCTGAAGGCAGCACTGGCGGTGTTCGCATGCGTCTCCCCCGCCCAGTGCAACGTTACGTGGCCCCATACGCATGCATCTCCCCCGCCCTGTACAGCGCTTCGTGGCCCCACCGAAGGACCCAGCGGCGGTGTTCGCGTGCATCTCCCCCCCTCAATAAAACATGTCGTGGCCGCATAGGAAGCTCCACCGAAGGCCCCAGCGGCATCGTTCGCATGCGTCTCCCCCACTTAGTATAAAGCTTCGTAGCCTCATACAGAACTCCTCCGAAGGCCCCAGTGGCGGTGTTCGCATGCGTCTCCTCCGCTCAGTACAGCGTTTCGTGGCCGCATAGGGAGCTTCACCGAAGGCCCCAGTGACGGTGTTCGCACGCGTGTCCCCGCCAAGTACAGCGCTTCGTGGCCTCATAGGGAGCTCCACCGAAGGCCCCAGTGGCGGTGTTCGCATGCGCCTCCCCCTCTCAGTACAGCGCTTCGTGGCCCCATAAGGAGCTCCACCGAAGGCCCCACTGTCGCGCGTTCCACTTAAAGCCCCAGTGGTAACGCCCACATGGCTGCCCCGACCCATCTCGGCACACCCTTAGCATGCTTCATGGCCCCCTGAGGAGATCACCCGAAAGCGATACCCGTAACGACGGCACTCACAACTGAACATGGATGGGTCCTACGCCAGGATAAATGTACATCTGCCGACGATGGCTTGGAACATCCAGTGTGGGGGAGGGAAGTACTGGCCGATAGCCCAACCTTTTCGCTTTGGGCAACCCCACGCGTGCCCGCGCACCAATGCTGCGCACCCGCTTCGACCTGCACAGCGGACAAGGTCAGGCCACCCGGAAGGGAGGAGGGGGCGGTCGGGCCCGATAACCCGGCTGTTTCGCCAGACCCTCACACACCAGTCTCCATGCAGCCGCCTCGTCTCTAGCAAGGGGGCGTCGTGGCCGAACCCGTGCCCGAAGATCTGCCCGAGCGTGACCAAAGCCAGCGCCCCGCTCTTCCGGACGAGCCAAGAAGCGTGACCGAAACTCTTGGGTCGAGATCAAGGTGGTTTTTCTGTGTCGGCCACTCGGTCACACGGTGCCTTCGGTCACAATATCGGGCAAGTTTGCAGTCGCCGTTTTTTTTACCACATGGCCGATTCCAGAAACCCTGAACCCCAAAATGTTGTCATCTCTTGGGAGGTCGACTTTTGCTTCCGCCGGCTTCCGTCGAGCTTCCACTGGCTTCCGCTGCGGCTTTACTTCCGCCGCCTTCCGTCGACCTTTCGCCACGGAAAAGATGTCAACTCCTTCGATCCTCGAAGGCGATGTCCTTTTTTGACATCCCACGCATGCCTCTTCGGCTGATTGGGGCCGTGCGCCATGAGATACAGCCAACCCGTATCATACGGATGCGCGGTAAGGATGCAAGGGCCTCGGAGGACCATGCTAACGTTTTTCGAACGAGGCTGGCCAGCGAAAGCCGCTGAGGATGGGCCGACGGGGCAAGGATGCCCGGGTGCCCTTGGGAAGGCTGGCCATCCTTACCATGCAGTTTGACTGTATGTTGTGCTGAGACACGGGGGGGCACATCTGCCGCCGCTCGTCTCCCTTCCCGCGGCGCCCCGGGGCGTCTGCGGGTTTTGCCGGGGCGGCCAGGGGCACAAGAGAAATCTCCGCGGGACACTCGCTGGTGGGCTCTTTTTTCTGATCTGCCGCGCGCGGAGCCGCAGAGGAAGCAATCTGATTTCGGAAGCGGCACCTTTCGGGGAGGTCGCAGGGGCACACCTCCAGGGGCTGTTTGGGCCGCGGGCGGGCTGCTTTCTGATCTGCCGCGCGCGGAGAGCAAGAAAAGTACGGAGGCAACGCCTGTCGGGGAGGCCCCTGGCGCTGGACGCCATCGGACGCGCCCCGTGCGCCAGGAAGAGGGGGCCCAGGCGCCGACCCGAGGAATGTCCGCGCGGACCTCTGCACACGACTCTCTGTGTCTGCAGCTGCTCTGTGCCGCGGGGACCGACCGTCCCGGCATTCCCACAGGCCCACCACGAACTGTTCTCAGAACCCCCGAAATGTTGAGAACCAACACAGCGTTCGAAGGACATAAACCCGATGTGGCAAAACAGGACAGCCTCAGCCAGCAATGCTCTGAGAATATGCAGTGCAGGCCGCAAGAGCTTCCAAGAACATTCTGTGGTGGGCCTATCTGTGAGCCAGGAAGCTTCGCCACTGCTCGACTCTCTCCTTCGGCAGACATTCCACCAGGGCGGCGCGCCCTGGGTGAGGTGTCGCCAGGGGCCGTGGCTCCCACGGCAGCATGCGTCAAGACCTGGTCCCTGGGTGCCCAAAGCTGGGCCGCTGGGGCCCCCCTTCCACGGTACGCCAAGTCCCGGGTCACGCTGAGGTCGGGCGTGTCCTCCTAGAGGCGGATTTTGAGGGAGAAGTTAAACATACTCAAAACTCACCCCAAATAATCACAATAATAAGAGGGAACTCGTGCCCATCTTATCTGTTGGCTATTCTTGAGTACTCCTCCTGTTGAGGGACAGGCCCGACTTCAGGGTACGCTTATGTCGGGCGTGTCCCCCTACAGAGGGATTTTCGACGAAAAAAAAAAAAATACCCCGAAAAGGTCAAACAATAATCGAAAACTCGTCCCCAGATTATTCTTGGAGCATCTTTGGACTATTTTTGGGGTATTTTCTATCCCTCGTCGAAAATCTCCCTGTCAGGGGACAGGCCCGACTTCGGGGTACGCTTGGCCTCTCCTCTCCCGAGAGCAGGACGACACGTCGCCGAACCTGCTCGGCCCGCCTCGAGAGCCGCCTCGCGAGCCGCCGTCGCCTCGGCCGGGGAGCCGACCCGGAGCTCCGGCCAGGACGCGCTCCAGGGCAGGCTCAAGTCGGGCCTGCCCCCTACAGGGGGACGTTCGACGAACAATGACAAATACCCCCAAAGTGCCCCCAAAATGCTCCAAAAATAATCTGGGGACTATGTTTCTGAAACTTCTTGACCTTTTTGGTGTATTTTTTGGGTAGTTTTTACTTTTCGTCGAAAATCCCCCTGTAGGGGGACATGCCCGACAGAAGGACAGGCTCTGGAGTTCCGCCTGGAGTCCAAGGCTTTGAGGGGGGCTTCCTGAACCCACTCGCTCCCCTTGTACGTCGATGCTCCGTCGAACGCCCGCCCACTGCAGTTGAGCTCGAGTCGCACTAGAGTCGAGCCAGAGCCGAACTAGAGTCAAGCAGGAGTCGAGCACATCCGCCACGCGGGCCGCTGGGAGGTCCCCAGAACGACGACGTCTACGAAAGCAGTCCAGCTGCTGCGGGAACAGCGCGCCGAGCCCGCGTATCAGCAGCAGGCGGGCG